CATTTGAATTTTTCCCACGCATCGCCGTGTGTGGTGATTTTTTACAAACGAAAACTCAAATTTTCCCATTCATCACCGCATGTGGTGATTTTTTTATACATGCATTGACCTTAAGAAGTGGCTGGAAAATGATTAAAACCGCTGGCAAAGCCTCGGTGCCCAAAACTTCTGAGGCTCATCACGCCGTTGTTGGAGGTCGGATGATTGATATGAAAGATGGGTTTTTTCTCACGGGGACAAGGACTACACACACACACACAAGTGGTGTGCCACCACGTTTTTTGCTGGGAATGACAATTATGTAACATAAGGTTTTAGGGTGTCTGGTGCTTACAAGCTAATCCTGTCATCTACAATGATAATAGGGTGAAGGGGATCAACTAGGATCGATGATATGAATCCAAAGCCAACAGCCTTTCCATTGTTGGTGGTAGGAATCGAAAGTTACGGTTGGGTCTGGTTAGTGACCAGCAGGTTGACTTGTTATCCAATCCCGGCCTATCAGAGAAAACTGTGGCTAAAACGTTTCATTTTTGGAAAGCCAGGTTTTCTGATTTTTGAATTAAACTTTCTATTTATAATAAATCTTGGTCAAAAAGACTAAAATGCCTTGCAACTTAAAAACACTTCTAAATTCTTTGTTCTAACTTTGAATTAAGCGTTGTTTCCGCCTACGTGCTCACGAAATCAAGTTCTATTATTTATTCTAAACCACCTCCAAACACCAAATTTAAACTTAAAATGACTAAAACACCCCTGAAAATCGTTTTCACAAAATTGTAAAATAGATAATAATTTTTAAGACAGGTTGTCCTTAAAATATAAGATTTTTTTTTTTTGTCAAACAGTAGATTTTGTTAGATTAGTCACCGATGGGGTTTGAACTCTCACCTTGATGCAAGGACTTAATACATTTCTACTATTGCGGTAAAGAGTCACTTGCATAAACAATTTATTTGAATGAATACCAAAAAAGTTTATGGAAAGACATCAAATGTGACAATCTGTTCCAAATTTTAAGTTTTTATTTTATTTTAAAAGCGTGAATTTACGAAATTGCCCTAGAGGCAAGGATTTTGACTTCCGTTCACCATCGACTTGAGAGATGTGGGACTTATTCTTTTAGCATATCCTCGTAGTACTCGTTGGTACGAACATTGAGGCGAAAGCCGTTTGCGAGTCCAGATTATAACGGTATAGTTACAGACGTTTGAAATTGGTTATTCGAGGTTTAGTGTTGATTAAATTAAATCCCCACTTTGTGGGGTGAAGTCCAATCAGAAATGGAGGAAAGAAAGAAAAGAAAAAAAAAAAAAAAAAAAAAAAAGGAAAAAGGAAGTGGCTTTTCTGTCCACCCGCACCCACCACGAGTTTCCATTTTCCAAGGCCAATTCCGGCCAACTCCGGTGGAGTTTTTCGATGCCACCACCATCATCTTGAAGCTCTCATTCCCCTCTACAAAACTCACCCAAGAACCACCTTGATTAACCATGGTATGTGGTGGTTTGAGGCCACGAAAGTTGACGAAAATCAATAGTGCTCCGGCCACCCTTTTCGATCTTCCGGCAAATTGGCAAAGCGATGGCTGATGCCACCACTTGGGCTTTGTAGCCCATCATCCCAGGAGCAAAACCCAACCAACCTTGACCCCGTTGGACCACCGTAGACGACGAATCAACGTCGGGAAGTTTTAGGCATCTGCCGGCTTTGTAGGCAAAATTGACCATCTTCCGTCCACTTTTGGACTTCGTGGCAGGTATGAAAGTTTCTCCACTCACTGAGATCTTCATTTTTGTGAAGTTTGAGAATTTTTGGAAATAGTTGGATTTTCCGGCGAGTCGGGACGACCGACCGCCACCCGCGGCGACGCGTGGCCAGTGGGCTGCCAATGCTATTTTTAGGCTATGTCAAATGTCTTGAATTCAGTTTTGTCATTTGAATGACGTAGGTTGATCGTTGGAACCTAAATTTGTTACGATACATTACTTGACAAAAATGTGAATCGATGATCCGACCGTTAGATCGTCATCAAAATTGGATATATTATAATACGTAATATTTAAAGATCATAGGAATTTATGGGTCGGGAATCCGACTTACGGATCTTCCTGAATTGGATTTGTAAGTTAGTAAAATAAATGTTCACGGCCACTTGTTTTAGGCAATTGGCGGAGATCTGACCGTTGGATTGTAATGAAATTTTAATATGTTATTCTAGAAACATATTTTGGATCGTTGGGAGTTGCGGATTGGAAATCTGATATGCGAATCTTCCGGGTTGAGTTATACTGGGTTGTAGACCTTACCGTCGATCTTTGATCAACTGTTGACTTGTGGTCAATGGGTCTCAAACTATTTTAGAATGTCGTTGAGGTTGTGTTTTATGTGAATTACGTATTCTACGGATAAGAGTTCTGAGATGTGATTTGATAATTGGTCACAGGGACCAATCATTCAGGACGCCTCGATGCGTGCGCTAGAAAATCACAACGTGGACTCCAGGTGAGTGGATCTTTTCCTTTTTATCGTACATATTATTGAGAGTTCTATTGACACTTTTAAATTGATTAAGTATATTACCTTCATATAATTATTGTGAATGCTTGAAGTACTTATATGAACTACGAATGGCTTGATCCCTATTTAGGGTACGTAGGCAGTCTAACGAGACGTTAGATGCAGCCATAAAATATTTGAGACAAAAGCCTTGCTTGGGAAATTGAGTAATGCGAAGGAAATTGGTAAAGGCAAGTTTTAGTTTTGTGAATTAGTTAGTTAAATTAGTGTTAATTAGGTTGTCATGGATAATTATCCCTGAAAATAAGTAGTTCGGGAGTAGGGCGTTATTGATTGTACACTTCACACCGTATTGTTTATAATTGAAAATGCTACGACATGGTTGAGTATTAGATTGCATCATGGTATATCCATATGTATATTACTTGCATATAATTATTGGGAATGCTTTCAAGTGCAAAGGTGAACGCAGGACACCCAAGTAAGTTCAGGTGAGTTTATAGTATTAGTTGAATCGATTACGTTATAGCATGACTACAGTTATGTGTTAGGCAACTTCGATACTGTTGTACTGGTTGCCATGAGTTGCACATATTATTTTGAGATGCATTGAGAGCTCATAAACTTGCACCCTGGTGTTAATGCTCCCGCCAGTGGTTAGGGCACAGTCCTTCACGTGATGTTCACCTCCCGCACCTTACGCTCACCTTAGATCCAAGGTAGGTGCACAGTCCTATCATACAGACTACTTTAGGTGGTTCCGACTCGTAGGTGACCCGCGATTATTCGCACAGTCTTCACGTGATCGTAGCACTTGAGCGTATTTATTTACACCTAGTCATGTCATACAGACCACTTTAGGTGGTTCCAACTCGTGTGCAGGTATACTTATTGAGCTATTGGCTAGCCATGATTGATGAGATATGGATAAGTCGTACAGGTCACTATAGGTGACTCCGACTTATATGCTAGCCATGATTGATGAGATAGATATGGATAAGTCGTACATGTCACTATAGGTGACTCCGACTTATATGCTAGCCATGATTGATGAGATATGGATAAGTCGTACAGGTCACTATAGGGGACTCCGACTTATATGCTAGCCATGATTGATGAGATATGGATAAGTTGTACATGTCATTTTAGATGACTCTGACTGATATATCACTTTGTATTGATTAAGTTCATTTGGCCTACTTATTAATGTATGGTGGAGTTGATGGCAAACCGTGGTTTTGGTTATTTCTGAGTATGGTTTGGATATATGTATATATGTTGTACTGTCCTATAAAAAACGATAAGGGAATTACAGTGAGGGGTTATTACTGTTAGAAAGGTAATAGTTTTGAGAAGCTTGATTTTACTGCTTACTCACACTTTCTGTTTTGTATCCCTTCAGGTTTTAACTGCTGAGTTCGTATCGACGAGGATATATAGCTAATCTTAGTATTGATGGCTACTTTTAAGGGTATGATTCTTACCCACATTACTGTACTTTACTTATGCTCTGACATCGTGTGTGAAATGGGTTCGCTCCCACTCGTAGCGCACTCTGGTAGTTAGACACTTTTAGATTCAAATTTATTCACATTTTATGGCTTCGTCACCTTCCAGGTGTCGGCCAGCACAGTTCGATTCAGGATCCAAGTGGACTTTCTGGGTCGGGGTGTGTCATCAAAATTCACTAATAAAAAATAAAAAATCCATCGTCAAAAGTCCATTTAAATTATACTAGCATATGGGCACACACAAAGTGTGTGAGAAAATTTTTTATTTTTGTTTTTGAAATAGAAGTAGAGAGGAAGAGAGTGATAGAGAATGTGGGAGTGAGAAGTTTTTTTTTTTTTTTTAATTAGATATATGTTAAGATTACATATAGGTAAGATTTTGGAAGAAAAAAAAAGTAAAATTTGATTGTGTGAAATTACATTTCTACCTTATATTTCTTATTCATATTTTTTTTAATTAGAGGATTAAACTGGTAATTTTATAGAATTTTAGTTGATAATAAGCGCTTTATTAATTAGTAGAGATAAATCCTATCAAATTTACCACTAAAAAAAATCTTTTGAAATCTTCCTAAATTCTAATTTGATTACACATCTTTCCCTTAATATTATATTTCTTGTTATTTTCTCCAACAAGAAAACAAAAAACAAAGCAAACACAATATCCATCCCCCAATCAAATTTCAAAACCAAACAAGCAATGGCGTTCGCCAACAACCATTCAACTCCAACACTCCACCCTCGCCACGTGCCTCCTTCCGATTCGCCCGCACATTACCCACTTCAGTAAGCAAACGCCCCCCAAAACTATCTCCTACACCGCACTCCTACAATTGATCAATTCTCACACATCGAAACCGTCGATTTAACCTCAACGTACTTTTTAACGTTTGTGATATATTTGAACCTAAACCCAAACGTACAGGATTAAACCCCTCCAAGGTCTTCGACTTTATAAAGTAATCCAAACTCTTGAGGCTCAGAGCTACCAATCGGCCTCTGCTGTTCAATAATGGAACGCATTCTGTCTCTCCTCGTCACCTTCTCTCTCCTGATCGTCTCGCGTGCGCAATCGGACGGTGCAGATCCTCTGATCAGACAAGTGGTGGACGGCGGCGATGAGTCCCACCACCACCACCACGACGCTCTCGGAGCCGAGCACCACTTCTCGCTCTTCAAGCACAAATACGGCAAATCGTACGCCAGCAAGGAGGAGCACGACTACAGGTTCGACGTGTTCAAGACCAACCTCCGCCGTGCCGCGCGCCACCAGCGACTCGACCCGTCAGCTCAGCACGGCGTGACTCGGTTCTCCGATATGACACCCGCCGAGTTCCGGAAAAGTCAACTCGGTCTCAGAGGGTTGAAGCTGCCCGCCGACGCAACCGAGGCTCCGATTCTCCCGACAGAGAATCTGCCTGAGGATTTTGATTGGAGAGAGCATGGAGCTGTCACCGCCGTTAAAAATCAGGTATTTTATTGATTTAATTTCGAAAAATAGTAATTTTTTGGTAATTTAAGGTATTTGTTTATTGATTGGGAAATTTGGGGTTTTTTTTTTTTTGGAAATTAGGGTTCGTGCGGATCTTGCTGGAGTTTCAGTACTACAGGAGCGTTGGAAGGTGCACACTTTCTCGCAACTGGAGAGCTTGTGAGCCTCAGCGAGCAGCAGCTTGTCGATTGTGATCATGAGGTTTGACCCTTTCTTGCTCTGTTCTGTTGTTGTTAATTTGTATATATTTTGGGGATTTGGATTGGTTGAATTGTTTAATTTGATTGGCAATTGTCTTAGAATGTTTGTTACAATTGTTTTGTTCAAATGATGTGTGTATGTGGTGATGCCCACATGTAATCTGGACGAGGATAAATAGTTATCTTCCTCAATTTGTACTTGTCTTTGTCTGTGTCTATCTGTCTTAGTCTGTGTTTGTCTGTCAGTGCTGAAAGACACAAACTTGAACTTTTTGCTTGCATTTATAACATACACGGTGTCAGTGTTACATGTTTCTAATTCTCCAGACATGTCAAAAGGAAAATGGAAAAGGTCGGAACTCATAAGGAATTAGCGAAAATCACGGACTTGGTTTATAAGTTGCAGGAGAAATGGTCTGTGTGTTGTGATTGTTATCTCTGCTGTTTTGTATCGGGTGTGGTTACGTACATTAATTAGTAAATCAGGCATTAATGTCGGGTTCTGTTTATATAAAAGGTTAAGTGGTTGTTATCTGCTTGTTGTGTAGAAAGATTTGGAACAGAATTGGTTCTTGTTTTTAATGAGCGCCGATGACATGTTTGCGCTGCCACTCTTGAAGCACCAATTTTCATTCTACGTGTGTTGCAATTCAATTGTTAGTCTTTGATAATACATTAGCAATGCATGTCGAATGGTGTTATCAAGTTCATGTTTAGCAATAGAACTGCTCGACTCATGAAGCACCATTTTCATTCCAAGTGTGTTGCAATTCAATTGTTAATCTTTGATAATACATTAGCAATACATGTCGAATGGTGTTATCAAGTTCTTTTTTAGCAATAGAACTGCTCGACTTTTGCAGTCATTCTATGATGACTCCTACAAAATGGTTTTTCCCTTGATTTGCTGTTTCTTACGCGTTCTTTCTGAACATTGTGCAGTGTGATCCAGAGGAGGCAGGTTCATGCGACTCTGGGTGCAACGGTGGACTCATGAACAGTGCCTTTGAGTACACACTCAAAGCTGGTGGACTAATGAAGGAAGAGGATTATCCATACACTGGTACTGATCGTGGAACCTGCAAATTTGACAAGAGCAAAATTGCAGCATCAGTTTCCAATTTCAGTGTCATCTCCCTTGATGAAGACCAAATTGCTGCAAACCTTGTCAAAAATGGCCCTCTTGCTGGTAATTACCTTTAAAAATTTGTGATTTTGATTCTTCCCTTGTTTCTGTTAAAAAATTATTTGTTATTCGTATGACCTTTGTGAAAACTTAAGAGCGTTGCTTCTTCTCAAATGTGGTATAAGCTCTAATAGTTATTAGGATTGGCTGGTGCTAACAATTTTACATTGCTCGGATGCAGTGGCTATTAACGCGGTGTTCATGCAAACATATGTTGGTGGAGTGTCGTGCCCCTACATATGCTCAAGGCGGTTGGATCATGGAGTGTTACTCGTAGGTTATGGTGCAGCTGGATATTCTCCCATCAGATTGAAGGAGAAGCCATACTGGATCATCAAGAACTCATGGGGAGAGAACTGGGGAGAGAGTGGATTCTACAAAATCTGCAGGGGCCGAAACATCTGTGGCGTGGACTCCATGGTCTCGACTGTTGCTGCAGCTTCGGTTAAGACCAACTCAGAGTAGTAGGGTTCAACCCTAACTTACAATAGCAGTTGTGTTTGTTAATGTATATACAAGTTGTGGTGATATTTATCGAGCGAACTCCAATTGTTTGCTGTCTTCTGTCGGGCTTGCAAAACAAATGACCAAACAAACGTAACGCCCCATGTATCTTATAATTCTCGGTATTTGCCCGAACAGCTCAAATGTCCTTTTTTATGTCTTGTTAATGCAAGTTCTTCGAAATATTATATTAGACCTGGCACTTGTGTTATGTTTTTTGTGTTCGTATTGTTTTTGTGTTATGTCCGATAGCTTAACGGATCGTTATGTGTAATACATGTTAAAGTAAACGGATAATATGATCCGATCCGAAATCGATCTGTTAATATTATCAAGTAATATAATCCGACCCTTGTTAAGAAAAATATATTATAAATCAATAAATAATGAAAATGTAAAACATAATACTAAATTAATGAAAGTTGTAAAACTTGTTATTACGAGTGATTGTATATTTTTACATTTTTCACACTTCTACAATAATTATTATTAATTTTGCACTCAAATAAAAAACATTGTTCATGAGATTTGGAGGGTTTTAAACATCTAAATGACCATGTAACCATATGTGTAAGATCCCACGTCGCCCAGGGGTGAAGATCATGTAAGCCTTATATGTATATTCTCATCTCTACCTAGCACAAGGCATTTTGAGAGCTCACTAGCTTCGAGTTCCATCGGAACTCCAAATTTAAGAGAGTTCTAGCGAGAGCATTCCCAAGATGGGTAACCCACTGGAAAGTTCTCGTGTGAGTTCCCAGCAAAACTGTAAGAGCGTGATCGGGGCCCAAAGCGTACAATATCGTGCTATGGTAGAATCGAGCCCGGGATGTGGTGGGGGCCCGAGCCAGAATGTGACAGGATGCAATTATGAGCGTTTATATATGCTTTCACATCTTTCAGACTTATACATTAATGATTATGAATTTTGTTTATTTTGAACTCCCTTAAAAATACTATTCATGAGGGTTTGTTTGGTTTTAAAAGTTCAAATGATCATGAGCCCATCCTCAAAGCATAAAGGGTGTGATTACGAGCGTTTGCATATTTTTTCACATTTTTCGCATTTGTAAATTAATTATTATAATTTTTTTAATGTGTTTGGTATTTTTAAATTACTTAATATTTTTATTTTTAATGTGTTTTATAATTTTTTAAGGGAATTTTTATTAGCACTCCAAAAATTTCATTCTACACTCCCTCATAAGTATTTTTTTCTTTCTAATAATAGAAAGTTCGGAATGCCAAATGAGAATTTTAAAGTGCTAATAACAATTCATTTTTTTAATCTCAATTGCCTATAGTATACTATAAAAATAAATAAATAAATAAATAAGACTTAAATTTAAAAAAAAAAAATATATATATATATATATATATATATAGAATAATAATTAATAAACAATATATACATATCCATCATATCTATTGTATTTTATAGTAATTTTTTAAGTAGTTTAAAAAATTAAAATCATCAAAATAACTTTTTCTTATCGTGTCGAAACAGATTATTCGCTTGTCACTATCTTGTAAACATGTTAAGGACTCATTATTAACGGGTTCTTATCGTGTAACCCGATAACAACTCGATTAGTTATCGTGTTGACCCGAAACCCATTATTTTTGTGCCGTTTACTTGTTGTGTTAATGGGTCGTGTAAGAAATTGTCAGATCTATATTATATAGATTATAGAGTATAGTTATTGCTTTAGCAACAACCTAAGTTGTCCCATATCAAGTCTGAAACTTTGGTTCTTGTCAGAATTTGTGAAACTTTATAGTATGTATAAAATAAAACCGTGGGTTAATATCAATTAAATTACTACTTTAACTTCCTAAGGTAGATAAAAATGCTAGTGAAAACAAAAGCATCACTAGAAATAAAAAAGGAGATCCTTTTATATCATTATTGTTGAATGAAAAAAAATCTCATGAATTATATGTTAAACACTCAAAATTGTAAGGTTAACAAACTAAAACAAATAATCCATGAAAGGCTTGGGACCAACGCTATGACATAAATGATACACGATATATGTGGTTCACCTCTCAAAATTGGACAACATCCACTTTAGTCTATATATAAATATTTGTGTTACAACCGAGTCGGCTTGGGAGTCCTCCCCAGATGGAAGGGTCCAACCCCTTTTCCATACATAAGGGCCTCTTTATATAGGCAAACCGACCTTCCTAATGGGTGGTCTCAAATAGAAGTGATGTGGCATCTTCTCATCCACTTAATTAATATCTAGATTAACAAATATCTAGTCTAATAAATATCTAGTCTTGGTCAATGTATCTTCATGTAGTGGTCGTCAGTAAAGGACTCGAGGAAGTGGTTATCCATGGAGCACCCTGCATGCCTAGCACCTTTGCCTAGCACTTTTGCCTAGCACATCTGCTTAGCACCATGGTCGTGGTCTCCGCCTAGCACCATCCTAGCACAACATGCTTAATTCTCAGCATTGCACAACGTGTCTAACACTTAGCCTTGACCTACTTCTCTCTTTGGGCATGACTTGGGCCTTCTCTTGGGTCTGCATCGTTTCTTGGGGCGAAAATGACCCTATTTTAAGATTATATAGTCCTAATAAGTTATGAACCAGAATAGAAGAGCTTGCCTCATCCATGAGTAAATACTTTGTAGTATTCTCATTAGACCATACATCTTTCTTTGCTGACTCGTACCCCCGGCCTTCAACCACCCAGAAGGGATTGTGAATGATTGATTTTTATCAATCTTTTTTACCTTGGTTCCGTAGTAAGAAAAATTAAGAAATAAACCATCAGAGTTGATTCATTCTCACTAACCATGAGATGATCATCTTAGGGTGTTTTCAGATGAGTCCATTTTCTTAAATTGAGCATCTGCTTATTTAGTCTGAAAGTGTACATTTCGGAGTACATCTTGGATAGGAACTTTTGAATCAGACGTAGTATTTTGAAACTTTTCGGCTCGGAATCGTTTCAATAGATTTGGTATCCATGGAGCTATACAACTCCAATAATTAATCTGATTTCGAAGTTTCTGAATTCAGCATGAAGTTACGAAATTCCAATATTTCATCTGTGAAATTGGAACTGATATTCATTTCCGAAACTTTTTAGATTGAAATGAAAGCATGTGTTTTCGATCTGATCCAGTCGAAAATCGGGCCTATACATAGTGCTTGAGTGGTAGTAGTCAAGCATTCCAATCTCATACGGTCATTTGTTTTGATATAAAAATAAGTTGTCTAAATTTGTTATTTGTACAAGGAAATAAACATTTTAAAGTGTCTGTAGACATGAGTCGCCAAGTTGATTAGAGCGATGTGCTTCTTTCTAGAACCAAGTTCAAATAAATTTCTTCTTAATTTATATACATTTGGTGTAAATATATCACATCGCTAATTTGGAAAAAAAAAAAAGGTTTATCATTAATGAAATTCATCTTTCTTCTTTTATCAAAAACATAAATGAGGAAATTAGAATCCCCTACACCTTTTTTTTATACTAAACATCTTTCCTTTTTTTTAAATTTGATTAGATACTTTGATCAATTGTCACCTCAGATTTTTTATTTATTTAATATATATATATATATTTAATTAAACTAACTAGCAACTAATTGTCTACAATTTAGATTTTTTTAGTTCGTGACATATTAGTATTAATTAATTTAACTAATCCCTCATTTTCAACAAAACAAAATATCGTTTCCGGATCCTCTTTGTGAGGATCTTAGCATCATATCTGTTCATCGTATATTGTGTAGTCAACATTCGTCGGATATTATTTGCGTTAATTTTAAATAAAAATTTTCAAAATAATTTATCGGCGCACTGTGTACGATGAATGATAGAATGTGAGGATCTGGATGGGATCCAAATCCGAATTTATTTTGGGGTGTTTTGATATAGGTGCGTAATTTTGAATTTTTTTAAATCAAACATTTATAGCTTTTAGATTTTTTTATCAAACATTCTTTACTAATTTTTAACTAGCATATACCCACACACAAAAAATGATTATTAACTAGCATATGCCCACACACTCAAAATGATTAGACAATTTTTTATTTTTGTTTTTAAAATGAGAAGGAGAGAGGGAGAGATCGTCGAAATGGGGATGAGCTTTTGTTTTTATTTTTATTTTTTTAATTAGAGATTTGTTAGATTCACATGTAGATTACGCTTTTAAAAAAAATTGTAAAATTTAGTTTATGCAAAATTACTTTATTGTCCATAATTTTATTTTGTGATAGAAGACAAAAATGTCTTTTTATCCTTTTTTTAATTGACAAAAAATGTTTCATTAATATGTAGTTTAGATAAAAAAAAATTACGATTTTTCATTTTAATTTACCAATTATTCACAAACTAATATCACAAAACTCCTAAAATTTGGTAGATATGTATTATGTTATAATAATTCATTTCAATTTTTCAAAAGAAGCTTTTAATTCCTAAAATAAGTCATTTAAAAATTCTAAAAAGACAGCAAACATCCTTTTAATATATAATTATGAGATGATATAGGCATGCACATATATATTAAATATAACGTACCAATAATTTGGTACATTATTGGTATATTATGTATCTTAATTTGGGTGCATATTAGTATTTTGGTAAGTTGATTTATCCTGATTTTGGTATGTACAAAGCTAATGGTATGTATGTGTAACAATAAGTAGGATATCTTTTTCATATTATTGGAATATGGACTCATATTTTACAAAAAAGGAAAATGAAAAAAAATTGGTGGTTCACGCTGCAATTGCAATGAATTGGTACGTTTGGTTACTATAATATGGGTACATTTGGTTTTATGGTACATTTTATTTCTTGGTACATTTGGTATTTAACCATATCAAAACTTATTAAGTTTATTTCAAATGTACCATAACTTTAATCATCAGTTTTTTTTTTTTTTTTTTTTTTTTTTTTTTTTTTGTATTTATACCTAAAATTTAAAAAAAAAAAAAATTAAAGAAGTTTTTGTGACACACCCCGACCCAGAAAGTCCACTTGGACCCTGAATCGAGCTGTGTTGGCCGACACCTGGAAGGTGACGAAGCCATAAAATGTGATAGTGCATAAAAAGTGAATAAATTTGAATCTAAAAGTGTCTAAGTACCAGAGTGCGCTACGAGTGGGAGCGAACCCATTTCACACGCGATGTCAGAGCATAAGTAAAGTGCAGTAATGT